AATAGATGCAAATATACAGTTAACAAAGATGTACCAGATATAGATTTTGCTATAATAAATTAATAGTTGCTTCGCCTCTGTCTAAAGAAACAGCTTGTTTAACACTTACAGCATACAGTATCAACTATAAACTATTACAGATTTTATAAAAAAGAAAATTGGCTAATTTATAAAAACGAAATTAACCAAATCTTCTGTTTAAAGTTTGACTTCATGTCCATAAACACTATTCTAAAACTTTGCAGAAATCTTTGTAATCTTGTACTAACATAAATATGGAGCGAGTTTGCATAGGATACGAGAATCGATCATTCCACGTGGTTCTCTCCACATAGTCGAGCATCACCACAGCCTTGATTGTCGTCAGTAGCTTGTTCCATGTCTCGTCAAAATCCACCACCCGCGGCTTTAAGGACATTGTAACGCTTCTCTTTGACCCCTGATAGAAAAAAAAGAGAAACAAGAATACAGAAGTCAGTAAAGAAATTCAAACACATACATTTGTAGACTCTTCCAGTTTTACAATGTTAATGTAATGTTATCTTTCCCTTCACGCAGTTTATTATAGTATATTAATGTTCTCTAAATTAATAGATTTTTACTTTCGGAATAAACCAGGCAGCAACTGAAAGTAAAACAAATGTATCCTTAGCAACGTGACAAAATGAACATAATGCTGGGCACACTTTTCAATTCATTTTATTAAGCTCATTACACTAACTATTTGAATATTTAATAATTAATTGTAATTTCTAAAGATAACAGGTCATAAAAATGTAAAAATTGATTTAATCAAGAGTAATTACATAACACAGATGATAGAATATAGGGCAAATTGAACATGCATGTCAACAGAAATGAGTCTAATGATAGTCTGCTACAAAACAGCTACTTCTATGATAGCAACAGATGAGATAAACATTGTGTTCCAAGTTCATGGAAGTAATACTAACGTTCATCAATAGTGAAAGCAAACACAACATTTTAGTAGCTTCGTAACTTACCAGGCGATACTTCTGCATGTATAATATATAAACTACTGTTTGTGCCAAAGACAAATCAAAGATAACCTGGAAGTAGGGGAAACTAGGCCCTGTGTTGTTTCTCGTCATTCATACCAGTTGATTTCACGTCAGTGAAAACATTGCAACATCATCATAGTTTTTCTTGCTATCCAATTCACGTAAGCTGATATCCGTCTATCAAAAGATAGTTATAATGTTACTAAATAAACAGCCATCTTGCAGTCATGATAAAGGCAGCCAAGTAAAGGTTACTAGCTAGCGGAATGCCAATCCCAAAATAGGATAGCTAGCTAAAAGGCTAGCTAGCTTCTAGCTCGCATGCTACTTCTTCCTGCTCAAGTCCCAGCAGTTCTGATGGATCGGCTAGCAGCTAGCTGTTAGTCAGCTAGCAGAAAGCTAGCAACAGCTAGCTCAGCTATCGCTAGCAAATGGTCATCTTCTCTGCAATTAACCCACATTTGTACTGACAGCTCAGGAAAACATGTTGCTGTTGTGAAACGAAACAGCTGAAAGAGGTCAAGCGTTGACTTCTGAATAATACGTACCTCTGTTTAGTATCTATTTGTTATAAAACTCAAGTTTCTCCGCTGTCACAGGCTTGATTTGTCTCACTTACAGGTCTTCCCTACCTCTGAGATTATACCATTGTATTCGACGGGGGTGTATTATGAACAAGCGTAATTGTTCGTTACGATTTTTTGCTTTTTACCATGGTAACTTGTCTTTGAGATTTTTTATATTTTAAAGAACAAATAATATATCTTTACACACTGATACGAATAACATCAAACACAAATGGATCAAATCCATAAGAACACCTATCGTCATGGTATCGCCTAAAACTACGGAATCCTCTTAGGAATTGAGTATTAAAAGTATAACCACAGGGATTCTTTAAGTTATAATGTATTGTATCTCTATTGTTATAAGAAAGGGTAACGTTAAGTGTGTTTGCCTCAGCGTACGTTATAAACTTCGCATATATCTCATTAACTACGTTACAGCTGTTTTCCAGGCAGCTGTTGAAGTTTTCCATGCACACTGATATTAACTGTAAAATAATTCTCCCACTTAAATGTATTCAAACATGACACTTGGAAGAGAAATATCACAAACAACATTTGCAAATAATGGTCTGTGGAGTATTGTAAGCATGTTGAAGCATAGACTGTATATATTGAAAGCCATTTTTAACCATATGAGCTGAACAATCTCTGTGAATGCATGGTATCAGTGTCATAGTAATAATAGAAGGAAAACCCACCAATCAGAAACGTCAAAAAAACTGCCTAACGTTCCTTGAAGTTAGCTAACATTTCAAATAATGCTAAGTTTCACTCCACATAACTTTGTTCAGCTATATATAAGTGTTTTATAGATAAAGCTTCGTTTTGTTGTGATCGTGGTTCAAGCTCATCAGGTTACATACAACAGGTTCACCGTCATATAATGTAAGTACTGTATGCCGATAAAGAAAGTCAACTTTTTATCAACTACTTATTACATGCTAGTTAGCTCACGTTAGATATGACAGTATTAAGAATTAAAACAGCAGCTGGCTAAATTAAAGAGGAAAATAGCTAAAATATCCGTTTTAGATTGTGTGAACAATTTCATCCATTATGTATGTGATTTTTGTATTCATTATTTTATAGCAACATTTACATCAATTAATAATGGATGCCGTTGCAATATGAACCTTTAATGTTATTAACCTTCTCATAAACAAGAAAGACAATATTTATTAGCCAGTTACTTGACTGAACCAGCAGAGAGAGCCATTCAAAGCTAGTGCACTTTCCTCAAACAGGAAATGACAAATTCAATGTTAACAGCCCCATAACAAATTGAATGTAATACATGATGTTATATTTTCTAACTGAGAAATTCCACAGTATGGCATCAGTAATGGCTGATTGCAAACTAAATCCCCCTTTCATCCTTTTTAACTATTTAAGACAGAGAAAATACTGACTCACAATGGAATAGTGATCCACAACATTATGTGTAAACAATCAAACTACTATTTGACTAACATAAAATAGAAGGATAGACCTCTTAGACATGATGATTACGATGTGGCATAGCAGATAGACAGCCCAGAAGCAACATTTATTGATTTGTCTTACTGTACACATGAAAACCCTGTCTCTGACCTTCTCTAATCCCCAAGGTATCACAGTGAACACCCTGATCAGCAGCGCCAGTCATTACCTGTCAGAATGAACCAAGTGAAAAATGAAGGGACATATCAGCCAGGTGCAACTATGCCTTTTCGTCCTACACCCAAATACCAGAACACCAACTACAACCAGCTCTGTAAGCATAACTGAAAACAGGTTTTTATGTTATGTATTTAGCAAAATGTACCATATTGCTAAGCTCTATACTGCTACAAAAACTGCTACAATTATGACGTAAAAAATATTTAAACAGATCTGTACGCTTTAATGTCTGAAAAGTACATTTGACCCGACTCAGCTAAAGTTGTTAAGCAGTTTTTGCAATGGTGATGTAGTCCTCACACCTTTCATTTGTTCATCATTTGTTTATTTAGGCTTGTGTATTTGATACACATTCATTTATTGTTACATTAAGAAAGTAGGTTTGATTTAATCACAGAGTTAATGTACATTTTGTAATCTATAATTATTTACTAAGCATTTGCACAATGTTTGCCCTCCCAGCTGGATATTACCAAGGAACTCCCATCAATTTCTATCAAGAGACGACACAGGACCGGCTGTTTGTGGCCATGCCCAGCGCACAAATACCACACACTCAATCCAGTACCTTCCAATACTACCGGGAGCCGCTGAATTGCAAGAGAGATTACGGTTTTTCCTCACTACCATTTAACTCTTGTTAACCATGTGTATTCTAGTGTTTGTATAATATAAATCATAAGTGAGGAGAAAGGTTATTGTTGCCATTATCCCATTTTTGTTGTGTCAAAAAGAAAGCCTGATCCATTATTAGATAATTGATAACTTTACTTTTTGTGTCTTCCCAGTTGGATTTTCTCAAGGAGATCAAGTCACATGTCCGCTTCATGGGATGGAGAGCCTGCCATCTGCGGCCAAGAGCAACACAAACACACCAAGGATGCTTGAGTACTCCAAGAACACATTTTATGGCCAGCAGGAAAATATTAAGGAGGAGGAGTTTGTGTACAAATTGTCAGGTAACTCAAGATTTCCAGACTGCTGCTACTCAAAAAAGAGGATGGGTAGCAAACAAATGATCATCATCCCTGTAAATGTCAAAGGGAATTGTTACAACAGACCAAAATAAACAAGCGCTAAGCACTTTTACTTTTTAAGTCCATTTGAGCCCTAATACTTAACTTTACTTGTCAAAGTGGAACTGTTTCTAGTATTTAAAAGTGTGGTATTGCAGCTAATACTTAAGTTAAGTCTCTTAAAAGGTCTTCAATCACTGTTTCACATTCTCCTTAAATGGTATCTCGGAAAATTCCAAAAAAAACATTATTCCAAAACATAGGATGTTGTCATATTTCCTTAAAATATTTTGGGTCCTCTATTTCCCTCTGTAATGCCTGCAGAGGGAGCCAGCCCCCTTAGCTATGAAATGAATCATCTGAGCGATTATGTGACTACATATCATTAACATATAGGTTTATGAGCAACCTGGCTTCATAGTAAAACCCCTTTTTGCAACAACATTTTTTTAGATAGTCTATTGTGATAACAGCAAAAAGAATACATGTTATTTCCTGCTCACACTATAAGTTCATGTTCAACAAGCTGCAGTGCTCAGTGTTGTGCTTTAGTCTGACTGAAGAAAATTCCTGCCAAAGACAAACAGCAGAGTGCCTGACTCATAGCGCTGTGTGGGGGGGGCAAACCATACTGTTGACATCAGGAGGCCAGTGATGTCATGGTGATGTCAATGCCTCTAATTGTAAATTGCACACATAGCCTCGCAGTTGGCTGTGGTAACATTTCAGTCAGAGGGAACACTGAGAAGGAGGCAGTTTGTCTGCAGGAAGATATACATGATGGCTGTAACTGGGGATGAGACAGAAACAGGTAGGCTTGCTTTGTCTTTTACTGGCAAATCTAAATCATAGGGCTTTTTTTACACTGCTTTTTAGTCAAGATACTCATTGAGGAATATCTCAAAATATAGCAAGTTGTTAGTAATGTCAACAGGCAGAATTCACAGATAATGTGTCAGTTTTGGAATTGAACAAAAAAGTCCAGGTTATGGTTATTGTGATATTGCAATGGGGCATTTGTTTATATATTTTAGCGTTTTTTTCTTCAACCCACTATTAGAAAGTTCAATATTTTTTTACATAGCACTTTAAATAGGCTCCTCTTAAACAGTAGAAAAGGAATGTTTAAATAAAAGTCTGATTTTCCCAAGTCAGCAACAAAACAAGCTCCCCCGATAAGAAATATTTTCACAGGGCTTGCTTCTCTCCACAGTCATGCTCTCTCTCCCTGTTTCTCTCTCCCCCTTTCTCTCTCCCTGTTTCTCTCCCTCTCTCTGTGAAATGCTCTGCCCACTCAGAGCACATAGCAGCAGTAACTGACGTCACTGCTTTTCCTGGAACAGGCCCCCAGCAGCGATATGTAAATGCGAACCAGCGTTCGAGATATACTTGACGTCAGTCACCAGCCACGCTGTGATTATATGCAGTTTCTTTTGTCATTCCAACATTTCAAAGAATTCATTATTAGTGTTTTACGCGATAAGGGGTGCAGGGAATTCTACAGGCACTGAGCGTACAATGAACAGAAGAAGATAAGAATGGTGTGTTTCTTTTTCAGCGACAAACTCCCATTTTTTATGAATTGTGGAATTCAGTCACTTATAATCTCTTATTATATCCATTTATCACATATTCAACAGACTTGACATTTAACAGCACACAATAAATGAGCATGTGATAAATACAACTTTTGAAATCACGAAAATGCTGAAGAGGTTCTAGTTTGGAAAAAGAAAATGAGCGTGAACATTTTTGATTTGTTGGAGGATCTGTTTTAAATGGGACTAAACTGAAAATAATAGACATACATCAGATATGTCTTACCGAGTACATTTAAACTTAACATAGAGATTCATTGTTTCCTTTAATTTATTATCGGGTTGCAACTAACGATTGTATTGATTAATCTGTTGATTGTTTTATTGATCGATTGATTCAGTTTTAGATCTATAGAATGTCAGCAAATGTTGAAAAAAGTCAATCAGTGTGTTAAAAAGCCCAGGATGAAGTCCTCAAATGTTTGAATTTAATGAGTTTACTGTCATAGAGTGAAGAAACAAGAACATTGGAGAAGCTGAAATCAGAGAATTTACCACTTTGTTCTTTAGGAATTACTCAAACCGATTGATCGATAATCATAATTGGTTATTGATCTATTTTGCAGTTCTGTAACAGCTCGTTATTCTAAAAAGACCTCCCTGTTATATATTGAATTGCACCATTGGAAATTATTGTTTTATTAAGAAACCAATTACATAAGTTGTTTCAAGCTAAGACATTTCTCAGGTTTTTTTTGGTTGCACCAAGTTAAATAAATCAATCTTTGAAACATAGTTATTTGGGAAGGATATTTCCACCCAAGCCATGAAATGGATATACGAATAACTGGTGCAACCCAATCCTATTGACTGACATGTTGTTTTTCTGTCTCCACAGGCACCTCAGGTGACTTGACTGCCTGCCAGTTGCAGAACACCGGCTCCAGCCTCCCACAGGGGGGAGCCGAGACCAGCACTCAAGGGTTCGTGAAATCTGCGAACCCCTCACAAAAGAGAGAGCACCGCTTGATGAAGAACAGGTAGCTAGCACCATTCACACTCATCATCCTCCACATTTGACATGTAGCCATGGCGATATTAACAGCCAAAATGAACTGTATAATATAAGTGAGTGGCTATATCGTAACTCATGATTAAGATGAAACTACTGTAGACTTAGAGAGATTCCAGCACTTGTTGAAGCCAATAAAAGCTACATTTTTATGTTTTAATCAAATTCTAGTAAGGTTTGACCCTGGAGCGATTTGATTGGGCAGTTGTTAACGCAGTAATCGTACTCTGGTGTCGACCAAATCTACCAGTCCATAACATAAAGCAAACAAAAGGCAGGAAGTGAACCAAAACGTAATGGTTAGTGGCTGCTTGCTTGGACATTTGTGATGGACAGATATAAATGGCAGGTTAACATGAGTAGAGAGGACTGATTTGGACTCCTGCAGAAATCTGATGTTTACTTGACATCTGGGCCCAAGAGAACATACACAACATGCTCAATATAGTCCCATTTTAAACTGGAGGAGAAGGGATTTGCCCTTCCATGTTAAGGTTTTTGTTAACGCTTCTTCATCACAACCCATTTATTGGGTCTACCTTCATTTGTGCACTGTGAAGCCAAACTACGCCAAGTAAAAAACATACCAAACAAACCAATAGCATACATTTTGCTGATTTGGTAAAGCCAAAGAGACTATGCCTTGTGAAAGCGCTCATAGATGTATGTCAATGCAATTGGCAAACATTTTGGGGAATGCACGCATCAACTTTCACGCGCAGAGTGAGAGGAAGAAAAATGTATGCCCCTTCCTTTATAGTACACTGCATATGAAGCTACAGCCAACAGCTGATAATCTTAGTTTAGCAAAGATACTGAAACAGGGGTAATGCACCAACTGTGCCAGCACCTCCAAAGCTCCAGATTTCCAACAGAGAGTACTGACAACAAGATGGATTTCTGTATTGCAAAATGTATTTCAAAATACTATCAAATGTGAATATTGATATTGGCCTTAAACACATCACTTTGACCCCATTCACTCATTCTGCTGTGCCTACCATGTAATACACAAACACCTAGCAAATACAAAATGACAACGTAGGACAATGACTGCATGTAATCATACCATCCACAAGCCTGTCATCATTCCACCGCATGATTCTCGTCCATCCTGGGTGTTTAGCTGCTAACTCTTAAGTTGTCTGACTCCCCATTATCTGCACTGTTACGCATGTTTGGAGTAAACAGAAAGTTGGATGACCGACTTGTGTTTGTAAGTGGGTCAGTTATTCTTGTTTGCTGGTACGCAAAATGTATTACCTCGTGTTTTAACATGCTTTTTGCTCGCTGTCTGTAGAACCTTGAGCTTATTGTGTGTTTTCTGTAAACAGCCTTGTGTCACCATTGGCAAAGACTCACACCTTCCTTGTTTGCATGTTCCCTGCCATCCGATAATCCGTCATTAGTAAATCTTCTTGGATGCTTTTTTTATTGTTTTTGTTGTGACATTCTCCTCTTTTGATTGGTTCTCGTACTATCCCGAAGGCATCCCATACATGGTCATAGTTATTGTTGACCAAACTTTCTGTACCCTCTTGAAGAAACCTTTTGTAACTTTTCGAATGTTTTCTCCTTGGTGTAAACTGATTCCTGGCTAGAATGACGTCTCTGTTGTATCTTGGAGGGAAGCCAAGATGTCATGGCTTCTTTTTTCACGTTTACCGTTGTTGTTGCTTCCAGGGAAGCCGCCCGGGAGTGTCGGCGAAAGAAGAAGGAATATGTCAAATGCCTTGAAAATCGCGTGGCCGTGCTTGAAAATCAAAACAAGACTCTGATCGAGGAGCTTAGATCCTTAAAAGATATTTACCGACACAAAGTCGAGTGATATATCTGATCGTGTTTGTCTGCTTCTTTGTGGTGTCTTGAGGACTGTGGTTTTGCTTATACAGACACAGATGCACACTCAAACAAAACGCTCCTTGTCCTTGCTGTAAAATGTGTTTACACGATGATGTCAATGTTTTCTGGCTCTGAATTATTCAATGTGCCACCACCAGCAAAAACAAGAACATTCAGGGTTTTCAGTGAGTATTATGAGGAGCCTATGTCCCTTTGAACAGGGATGCTGCCAAAAGATACAGGGGAAGAAAGAAGGACTATGTTGAAATACTGCTGGATCGCATTGACTTTCTAGAGGAGAAGAATAAGAAGCAGAGTGCCGAGCTGCAGCGCCTGAAGAACGACACTGCATTTAACATTCCTCTATGATGACTTTTTTTTACCAATTTGCTCTATTAAAATACTATAGTAATCGCTAGTCTTTGTGATGGTCTGTTTTGCTATTGCGGTTTGTTCAGGAAATGCTGCCATCAAATCTAATGTTCAAAGGGATCGGGTTATCAGGGCTTCACGTCACAATTTGTGTCTTATTCCACTTTAGAAATCCAGATGCAAGCAGGATTTTACATCCACTATACCCATCTTCTTTGTTAGAAACCTCCCAGGATCTGTTGTGCATCTCTATGCTTCTGCTTACATGTGGCGTTAATATTTATTTGTGCAGATGTACCCTGTTGTTATAGTTTGAAATACCGGTGCATTGTTGTACCAAAAAACATTAAATCTTTAAATGAATGAACTGAATATTTGGTTTAGAAATACATCAATCTGGAATTGTGTAAATTAGCTGTTTAAACTTAAATGTTTTTGTTGCTTAATCTAAGTATACATGGCTGCATTTTAAGGTTATTTATGTAACCATCTTTTAAATGTTTTGATCACAAAGGTCTTACAGACATGTTTAATGTATTTGCTTTAATAAAGTTCTTGCTCTGTATCTCTGTGTTTTTCCACACATATTAAATATAAGACATCCTTAAAGGACACAGTACAATTTCTAAGGCTTTTATTGCCATGTGAGTCTCAACCTTGGGCTTCTGCTCAGAACATGACATACTGTCCTTTTTCGCGTTGACTCAACTTGATTTCAACTATCGACGAGAAGCAAAGCAATTTTCCCTCTTTTACATCTTCTGTTGCCTTTTGAAGCATGTACACATGCCAAACAGTGTATTCTTAATGAAGGATTGAGTACTTCTCAACATATTCCATTAATCCCCTTCAGAGGAATGTGGGAATGCTAACTGAAAGGCGAGATTATCCCTGTTTTAAGTAATGCCATTCTCTGCATTAGTGGATACAATACCCAAGAATTTGTTGCCGTTAAAGAAAAACTGTAGCTTTTACAGGCAGATAATGGCCAACTTATAATAAAACAAATCCTAATATGACAGGAATAGAATGGTTAAGAATATCAGGAAGAATAGTTGCTATAATGGGAATGGAATTTCATTTTACCTACATTGAAGATGTATACATTATTTTTCTTTTGTGCTACATCTTAACTGTCTTATGTCCGCTTGCAGTGATTGTGTTTCCTGTTCTGTAACTTCTCATGTGTCAATATATTGGAGAGGAATTAGTATTATCACTGCACCTGGGCCCATTGTGAAACCTTATTCCTGTCCAGTCTATAACACAACAACTTGGAATGCAAAGGTAAGGAAAAGGAAATACCAGCTGATTGCCATGGACTTAATGCATTACTAAAAGCATAGGGAATGCAACAGCAGCAACAATTGTTATCTCGTGACATCAATGATTATCACACTAATGTAAAATGCTGGACACTCAGCACATGTTTCAGTCTGCGATCCGGCTCGAACAGTAGCCTGGATTTGAAGACTGCTCTCCTGTTAGTGGTGCAAAAACATATTTTAAATCCTGAAGCAGTAACCTGTATTGTGGGTGTATTCTCTCACTAAATGCAATGCAGTTGCCATGCCAGCAGGCTGCACTACAGCACCGGGCCTGATCAGGTCAACCAATGTAATCCTGCAAAAAGTGCATCAATCCTCCATTCTTCAGTCCCCAGCATCATCAGTGATTGTCTGAGGCATCAATGTGTTAAATATTGTCTCACATGTCTTATAAAACATCTTAAAGGATTAGGCTATTCCTCAATACCTCACTTTGTTTACTCACCTCAACTAATATCACTTAATCCTGCAGAGAGGTTGAGTATAAGAAATAATTTCACTGTCATAGGCAAAGCACTCATGGATTTGTCAGTCATTAGTCAGATCAAAACATTTACTAGAACTCATAATATGTTGGATCCTTAACATGTCATAACCCAGGGATACAGCTAAAGCTTTATGTTGCTATGTATTCTTAGTTTACTGTCTGTTATAGTAACTGTAAAGAAATATTGGTGGATTGGAACCAGTCATTGGTGGACTTAAGGAACACACATGAACACAACAGATTGTCTTATTCTATTCCCAAGATACATTATTGTCCAGACACCGACTTGAACCGGAACCCTTCACATCACAGCCACAGTACGTTTTAAAGATATATTTACGTGCTGCCGGAAATATCGTAGGTTCTACCTACATGTGGCCTCCGGACCTTCTCCCGCTATTTGGTGAGGGAAATAATAAATACGAAAAGCAGGAATAAAGACTAACAAATGGTGAAAGTAATGAACATTGCAACTGCACGTTTTGATTGCAAAGTGTTTCCAAACTTGAACAACGCACATATTTTAAACATTAGCACATGATCTATAAGTATTACTTCCAATAATGTAATGTGTCTCCTTTTATCGTTATCAATACTGTTTTCTTCAGGTTTTAATGGGTTAAAAAACACCATGTGGGATGCATTTGAAAGTGCGAAGGGCTATGCCATTTCTTAACCTAATTGTCAAAAATCCGCCTTTATGAAGAGCACCTGAAAGCCACTAGGCAGCGGATGTAGCAGCAGCAGCAGTAGTCTACAGTACAGAGGCAACCATGTAGCGCTGAGAGCAGAAATATTTTCATCTGACTGACTTAATAATATGTCCTCATGCATTCTTGTTTTATAAACTAGCAGCGTATCAATATGTCTTGGTGAAAAAAACCGGACGCTCAGACGGAAATACAAGGCGAGGGAGTCGAGTGTGAAACCGAAGCCTGTTACACAGAGCACTCGCTTGGACGTTTGGAAGCTGCGTTGGGCTACTCTTCTGCTTTTTTTTATCCAACATAGGCGTTTTATCAGCCTTTTAAATGATTGCACTTATCGGGCTACGCATACTGTATACTCGGGGGAAGGGCGTGTAACGCTAACGGATACCGGGGTTTGTAGTTCGCACAGGGGTCTGTCTATCCGCGTTACCGCCCCGTTTTTCTCCCCTGTAGGGCCAGGATAAGGCTGAAAACGCCGTTTTAGGTTTGGACTATTCACAAAAAGCTGCTTGCACCATGGGGAATACAACCTCCTGCTGCGTGTCGTCGAGCCCTAAACACCGGAGGAACAACCACTCCAGGCTCGAGCCCTACCGGCCTGAGCCGGAGCTGAGCAGGGAGGACACGAGCTGCAACCTCCAGCACATCAGCGACAGAGAGAATCTAGACGGTAAGATGCTATGCTGCTACCCCCCTTCATTTACGTATCTGAACCACATTTATATACTATATAAAAAAGCAAACTCATTATTATTAGTGCTAGGGACAGTAGTCTTGTTTATTGCCCTGCAAACACCCACACCGTTAACAGATTATGAGAGCTTGCAACATCTGTGCTAAGGACCCACCCACCCGTTACACCGATAACTAGCCTACAGTACGGCAAGCTTCCCTTTCATTGGACTTCCAATATGTTGTGAATCAGCCATATGCCTTCCAAACTAAGATGCAAGAGTACCAAGTTTCCTTTGACCACCAGTCTCAGGGACAGTTTTATCCCACAGGCAATGCGATGGTTAAATTCCTAAGCTCTGTGAAGTGTCATCACATTCATCTGTTTATAGAACATACATCAGTATACAATCTGCCTATTGATATATTATTACAATAAGCAGTACTTAATGCAGGTATCTTACTCTATTATGCCTGGTTTACTTGCTTTTTACATGCATCATTGTGTCATTTACACAATTTTCATGCATGCCTATAATATATAGTGTGCTCCCTTATTGGAAGAGCCTGGTACTTAAGATATCATTACCAACAACTTCTATGTAGATATTGTGCTTATACAACAACAAAGCCTTTGAATATTTTGTTGGGGGAAGTAAATGTCTACTAGTTTCACTTTTTTCTTGAACACACTGATTTAAAATGGATCCAGTTTGGTGCCTGGTTTAGTTGTTGGTCTGAGCCCTGAGTTTGCATCATCATCACCATGTGTCTGTGTGTGAAAGGGTGTGTAATGCTGGGACAGCGTGTTGAAGGGCGGGTGTGAATTTGTGTTCCAGTGGGAAGTGATGTGATTATGATGGACAGTGTTTACGGCGGGGTGTCCATCCACTTCCTGCAGTGAGCTGAATAGGCAATGACGCAGCCACACATCTCAACGCTCATTAAAACCAGCATAGTCACTCTCTACTGTACATTTCAGATATAATGGCTGCAGAGACTATCGGGAGGTCTTTGTGTATCATACACACCCAAAAACAGGTCAAAAATGTGACTATGACTTGTGTATTTTTCAATTTCTCTGGCATGGCAGGTTTCTTCCCAAAGCTTTGTTGCTTAGTCATGTGCTGTGAAAAAGGTCAGTCAACCTCACTGTACTCCTCCCTGTGAGTAGTGGGCTCCCTGGAGTGTGTAGTCAGCGAAGCCTTAAGCTCAGATGTGCCCTTTTCAGCATCTTTGTAACTTAAGAAACCCAAAGCATTCCTAGGCTATCCTATGAGCTATACACTTCTGAGTCAAATGCCTGCAAGGTGACATCTTCAAATGCATTGTGCTTTCTGACCAAAAATCCAAACCCTCCAGATACTCCGTTTACGATCATATAAAACGGAGAAAAGCAGTAAATCCCAACATTTGAAAAGCTGGTACCACATGTGTTTAGCATTTGAGATCGGAAAAATAAAAAAGGACAAGAAGAATAGTTGATAGAATAGCCTAGTTATCGTCAGTTGATAGACTCATCGATTAAACCACAGATTTTTTTTAGCTCTAATTTGACTTCACTTTAATAATAATTAGTTGCAAGTACATTGGTTGGAAGCTACTTATGCCAGGGTGAGGCTGGGGTCGTCTGAATCACTGCTGTCATTTTAAACAGTCATTGGACATGAGGAAATGACCAACAAATCAAAATCCAAAGCTTTGCATTGTGCCTCCTAAAGTAAACGTGATGATGGAAGGAAGGGGAGAAAAATAACTGGTTTCAAACTGGTTTTGGGTGTTTGTCCTGTTTACACAAGTCTTAGTTAATGACCCTTTGACCTGGACCTCCAACGGCATTCCACTGCCAGAGGAATCCTGTACTTATCCTGGGGAGGAATACTTCTTGGGTCCAGCAAATGAATACATTGGATAGTCACATAGGGGCCAAAACCTGATTTTATATAAAATCTGTATCATAAAAAAATTAGGAAATAGTTGTTTTAGTGCAAGGCAGTTTGATATTAATCTTTGTTATATTTGATTTGGTTGTCCCTAAACAAATACTTGATTTTGTTTGCATAGTTCATCTGTTTCTTGTATGATCTCGACTTCATCATCATGTGATCATAAAAAAAGTCAGCCATGTGAACTGCTGACAGTGGTGACGACACACACACACACACAAACAAAACACACACAGTGCTCATTGAACAGTCGCGTCACAAGTATGAAATGGTCTTTAAAGTGGCCCCTTCCACAATTACACTGTGTAATCTAATTTGCCTGAGCAATGGCTCCCTCTCTATAGCCTCCACAGCAGTCAGAGAAAGAGGCTGGAGG